GGGGAAATTTTCCCTTGTTTCTTTGTTATGGGGTGGGGCCACAACATTAGTAACAAAGAAACAGAATTAAAACTTTATTGTGGGGAGCCGCTACAGTGTTTTGGACAGCTTCAAGCCTTGGACTGATGAGAGGGCACAGTCCTCTCATTGCCACGTGCAAGTCCCAGCTTGGAGGGCACAGTCCTCTCATTGCCACGTGCAAGTCCCTCCCAGCACAATTATAGCCAACAGCTACAGCTGAGTACCTGTTTTCAATTATTTTAGGTATATACCTAGGAGTAGCATTGTTGGGTCATGTGGTAATTCTATGTTTAATGTTTTGAGGAACTGCCAGACATTTTTACAGCAGCTACGCCATTGTACATTCACACCAGCAATGTAGAAATATTCCAGTGTCTCTATATCCCCTCCAACATTTGTTATCTATCATTTAAAAAATTATAGACATCCTAGTAGGTGTGAAGTGGTATCTCACTGTGGGTTTTGCTTGTTTGTTTTTTTTTACCATTTCATCATAACTAAATATGATGAACATCTTTTCATGTGCTTCTTGGTCATTTGTGTGCCTTCTTTAGAGAAATGTCTACTTACTTCCTTTGCCCTTTTAACAATTAGGTTGTTTTTCTTCTGTTGTTGAGTTGTAGGAGTTCTTTATATGTTCTGAATGTCAGATCTTTATCAGATATGTAATTTGCAAATATTTCCTTCCATTCTGCAGGTTGTCTTTTTTCTCTGTTGATTGTGTCCTTTGGTGCACAAGTTTTTAATTTTAATGAAATTCAATTTATCTATTTTTTCTTTTGTTGCGTGTGACTTTGGTGTCATATGTAAGAAATTGTTGTAAAATCCAAGATCATGAAGATTTCCCCCTCTATGTTCTTTTAGGAGTTTTATAGTTTCAGCTCTTAAATTTAGACCCTTGATCCAATAATTTTGAGTTAATTTTGTAAGGTGTAAAGTGATGGTCCAACTTTATTCCTAGCTATGTGGATATCCCATTTTCCCAGCACCAGTTATTGAAGATACTATTCTTTTCCCATTGAATGGTCTTGGCCAAAATTTTTTTCAATGCATAAAATACATTTATAATAATAAAAGCATAATATGCTAATTAGACCAAACATCCTTCCAGATGACCTTCCGGACAAAGCCATGGCTGTGAGGGAAGCCCGGGTCCTAGGTGCCAGAGGGAAGCTGGTGCTGGCAGCCAGGGGAAGGAAGGTCTACTCTTGCATGAATTTCATGCATCAGGCCTCTAGTAAAATTTTAAAGGAAACCAGTTTTTCTAAACATAGTTTATCAAAATATGAAAAATCCC